GACCCTCACATACGCGTTCCCGTTGCAGGTACCACCCCGCAAGGAACCAAGACGACGAAGGCGTTTGCGGAATCAGGGCAGAAGGTGGTTGGTTCGATGCGCTCCAACTCGCGAGAGAACACAACCGTGGTCGCTACCATTAGCGCTGATGGTCACACCTGGGCACCAGCCATTATCTTTAAAGGGCAACGACTTCAGGCCGATTGGTTTGTTGAGGGAAACGGCCCGGAGGGTGCGAGGTACACCTTTACGGATTCTTCGTTTATGCAGGGAGACGTATTCATCGCCTACTTGAAAGATTTCCACAAGCAGCTCGCTCGGCGACCGAGGGTTGCTCGACGGAAAACCCCACATACTCTTGCTCGATGGACATGCATCACACGTGAGCGTGGAGGTAATCAGACTGGCCATGAATCTCAAAATCATCTTGTTCCAGCTATCCTCCCACACGTCGCACATCACCCAGCCCTTGGATGTCGTCGTCTTCGGACGCTTTAAGAAGTCGGTGACCAGAGTTTTGGCGTCCTTCTACCACAACTCCGGCGGGTTGTTGCCGCTGAAACGCGACGTGCCCGGCGTGATCGCGGATGCTTGGAAATTGAGCTTTCCGCCGGAGATAAATAAATCATCACTCGCTGGGGCGGGCTTGTGGCCTGTGAACAAGGAGCGGGCGCTGGGCCGGCTGAAGGGCACAGTGAAAAAGAAAGAGCGGCGAGACGAGCGCCCACCCCAATAGGATGTCCCCATCGCCGCCCTCAACGAGCAGCTGGAAAACGACTTCGGAGAAAGGGCCCTCAGGGTGCTGAGGGGGCAAGCGCACACCGTCACGGCAATCCAAATAGGCACGGCGATACTCGATAACCTCTTGACTCAAAGGAAGCGCGCGAAGAAGATGGCGACCTCGCGGAGCGCGCTTGGCCTTCCGGACGGAGGCAACATTTCCGCGCCTGAGTTCCTGGACGCTGTTGCCGAAAAAGAACGCGCAGACAAGGCGGAGACCGACGCGAAGGCTGCGAGGTGGAAAGTCCGCAAAGAGAAGGGGGCAGAAAAAGAGGCCGCGGAGCTGTTGCGGCAGGCGCGCATGGCCGATGGAGGAAGGGGACGGGGACGGGGTGGGAGCGCGTGGCCGGGTGGGGGGGCGCGGCCGGGTGGCTGGAGCAGAAGGGACAACTTTTTCGGAATGTCAGCCAGCGCCTTCCGTGTCCCGGGTTGGACAACAACGGACGCCCACACCCGTTGTCGACGTGTAGCCGTATGGATATTTCTCACGTGTCCTGACAGGTTCAGATTTGAATCGAACACGCCCAAAAGGTCGTAAAGTTGTACCCGGAATCGATATGCACCCTGTAGAACGTCGCATGTGGCTCGTAGGCTATGCGACGGCGATTTTAGGGCGTGCCAGCACCGGGGGGGTAGGATGCACAGGTCTTGAACCCAACCCGGGGATGTCATCATTTTGTCCCCGGGTGACCTTTGTGTGTGTTTTCTTTTTCTTTTTGCGATACCCGTTTTTCACTCATGCTTACAGGTTCCCTCAGAAGCACCCGTCGCGGGGGTGCAAAGGTGTTTTGAAACTACGGTTGTTTTCGGCGTTACTTCTTACCGTAGCGGCAAGCCTAAAATCGGGAAAAAGTATCCTTATTTGACCTTTAATATGTCATCAGGTTTGCTCCAATGGGCGTGGAATTGTGCGTACAGTCGAAGCATACCCTGTAGAACGTCATGTGGTTCGTACCCTATTCGATGGTGACGTTCGTGCTTTCCTGTACCGGGGGGGGGAGGGATGCACAGGTTTTGACCGAAACCCCGGGGACGCGGTGGTTCTGTCCCCGGGGTGGCTTTTTTTTTTCTCAACATGTCTCTCACTCATGTTTAAAGATCCCCTCCAAAGGTTTTGTCGTGGGGATGAATGAGTGTTCCTCAATGGTGGATACAGTTTGGCGGTGTTCGGCGTGAAATCTTACCGTTAGAAGCATGCTAAATCAGGAAAATGTACCCATATTTGACCAAGCACCATTTTACGTAGACAACTCATTTGGCCGTGATTTGTTTTTCTCGAGTCGTCTACTGACTAGAATAACACATTTATGCACCACACTGGTTGTTCTGCCTCGTTTCGAACGCACAGAGCACGCAATACAGGTCACGGAGGGAAAGTACCATCCCTACCGATTGTGTCGAAAACCCGGGGATACGTCATTTTCATCCCCGGAAATCTATCATTTTTGTCATTTCTTACTTTTTCTTCATTCCTATTGTATTTTACGCATGTCCACCAAATCTTGGGCTTTGAAATGCTTTCAAACGTACGAAATCAACCAATGATGAAAGTGGCCTTTAATACCCCCAGGGGTAATTTTCTCTCAAAATAGCGCCTGCAGCTCAGGTCTACGGCTCCACTCCTACCTCGTCACCGTCGGCCATTTTTTTCTTTTTTCGTAGGTAGTCGGGGAGTAATCTTACCTATCGCACGATACCAAAATATCATCGAAATTCGATTTCCTGCTCAACAACGAGCTCTTAGCACACGGGGTGGCTTAAGTGGCCTTTAATACCCGCCTCTACTGTAGATCGGAACAAAACGTAGAGGTGCTGCTTTAAATGGCGAACTCCCCACATGTCCACATGTCCACATGCATGTACTCCAACCAACTGCCCAACCTAGCTCCCTGGCCACTCCCCAGCCCCGGCGGTAAGCAACAAGGACATAATCGGAAGAGAGATGGGGTCTTGGCGTGCTTGATGGTCTTGGTGCTTCCCCCTGTCCAGGACAGCACAGCGCTGAGAACTTCCCCCATTCATGTGAGCGACGGGCACATTCAAGCACGCAGCAAGTAAGCTGCAACGGCGACAGAGAGAGGCGAAGATAAAGTGTTGCACTTCCTTGTGGGCTGGTTACTACGTATTGCGCTCTCTCGCGTTAGTCGAGATGTCAGACTCGGTGCAATATTCTGCCCGTTTGTCAACAGCAACAAAAATACGAAGATGCGATGCGATTCGTGCGGGCACACCCAGAGCTTCTACATACCGTAGTTTCGAAAGTTGTCTAGCGGGAACGTTGTACAGTCTACTTTAGAATATGGCGTAGGCTCAGCTTATTTTATGCCGACCCCACGATTGACATTTCGTGTTTACGTCGGAGAACAGGTAGTCGTACGCTCTGAACGACCCCGCACTCCGGGCAGGGTACCTGGTTGACCGGCCTCGAGGTAGTATCTACAGTAGTGCCGGGCCCGTGAAGACTGCCGCCCGGCAGTGTTCAGATTCCGTCGGGGTTGGTTGTTGAATATTTTTTGCGGATGTGACAAGGACCTGTTTTTGTATCCTTGTAAGTGGCACAGCATGCGTGTGGTTGACTATCTATGTCAAGCGGTTGTCGCAGGTCGAGATGGCATGATACTCGATCTGAAGGATACACGGGCAAAGAGAAACCAGTCCAGTATGCATCGTATGAATGCCCTGACGGACAGGTTGCGGTCTAGACAGGAATTGGCGAAGCAGAAGCCCTCGGACCTACACCAACACCTGACGATGCGTGTCGAGCTTACCGACCAAATCAGGGCAAGCGCATTCCGGAACCTCTCCGAATCAGACCTCCAGAAACATTAGAGCATGCGGTGGTGATGTTAATTTCGATACCAACTATGCGCATACTACAGTCAACTTTGCGCACAATCGCGGAAGGATCGGCGTAGCTTCCGCGGAGGTATCGAAGGGTGGTGACGCAGCCGGCTTTGCGATGGCGGCAATAGATAGGCACATGGGGGGCGGGGGGGGGCGTACCAAGAGGCGGGCGGGGGGGCACAGGTAGTTGAGAACTGGAACACCCCGGCTTGCTGCCGTTGGGAGTTGGCCGACGTCAATTATTAGACGGATTCCACCTCGGGAAAAAACGCACGAAAAAAACGTGCTTCGCCAAAAAAACGTGTTTCGAGGTTCCGTCGCGCCTTTTCGTACGAATTTCTGCAGTCCAGCTCGTCTGTTTTTTTTTTTCCATTTGGTGCGTTTTTTTTGCGCGTTTCAAAAAAAAAAACTTCATGCGCGCACACGCACACATCCACCTTACCGCACGACACGTACTCCGAGAGCATAGCTATCAATCCCTGAGGCAACTGGTGTGGAACCGGCACGCGTTGGGGTCATTTCCGGTGAACGTGCTGGGGGCGTGCGTGGTGGGCGTGGTTGGGACAGCTTTTCACCCGCAACAGTGACCGCGGTAGCCGCCTCTCCTACGGCGGACTTCGTGTGCATCCCCGCCCCTTGAGGGAGGTAGCGAGTCATCAGTCACACCAGCGGTCAAGTGCTTGGAAGTCATGGTTAGCACAGTTCAGCCGGCGGCGGGATTCGAGTTGGGAGCGTGGTTTGAGTTGGGAACGCATTGGAGTTGCCGCATTGCCACTACCGCCAGGACGAGGAAAAAGCTCCCCTTCTCCAGCCACCGCACATAGCAGAGCCGCCGTAATAATCTGCATGATTTAGCCATGACTCTCATGCCGAATCTTACCACGCTGTAGGCGCGCCATTTGCTTCAGGACGTCAACGCGCGTCTCAGCATCACGCCAAATCACACCGCCGCGTGTTCCGTGTTTTGCGGAAAAAAAAAAAAAAGAGGGGGTACTGATGTCCGAAAAAATATCAAGAGCACGGGGGTGGGTTCCAACCGGCACTAGCGGGGAGACAGCGAAACACGATTTTTCAACCGTCACTTTCCGAAACGCGTTTGTCCAAACACGTTTTTTTCGTGCGTTTCTTAGGTGGAATCCCTAGATTTACTCGGGGAGATGGGGGTCGTTGTTTGATTTGTTTGTTTCCGCCTGGTCTTGTAGTAGATCTGTACATAACAACATATTCGCCTGATTGAGAGCGTAGCATCTGATTGAGAGCGAGATTGCGCGATACGCTGTAGCCGGACTACCACTGAGAGGTGGAGCTTGCTGTGTAGCTTGAATTGAAGGGCTAGCCCGTAGCTTCAAGCCGCTACCCTGGTCATCCTGTGGGAGTCTCTCGTTGTGGAGCTACAGCGGGGAGCAGAAGCTACAGCAGAGCCCACCGCCCGACGCGATACCGCCCTGAAACAGTTTGAGCAGAAATAGCCAATCTGGGCAAATCTAGCAACTTGTCTAGCTCCTCGCTGCAGCATCCGATGACGATGACACGCATATGCTCGCGAAGCTGCTGATGAGACCTTCAATTTGCACCGCTTCTTGGAATAGCCCGTCCCCTACTTGCCAAGAAATGGCAAGAGGCGTCTGGACCCGAAATTTCAATTTTTTTGGCTCTCGCTCTCAATCAGATACTTCGCTCTCAATCAGGCGAATATGTTGTTACATTTCGCCAGATTTAGCGCTTCTGTTGTTGCGTTGGGATGGAAATCCAAAGCAACGCAGGAAGTTGTCAGCTGAGCAAGAAGCCACAGACGCCCAACCTGATTTTGTGCACCCACCCCATGGAAACGATGCCAACCATGTGCTACAGAAAAACATCCGCGTCTCAGTCGAAGCAATATTATTTGCGTGGAACAAAAGTCCTGTCGAGGAATCCGTCTGTGCGCCACGCGAAAACAATGGACAACATATTAAAGAGCTACTACTGTTAGTGTTTTTGGTGTTCCCACCGATTCATCACCCCATCTTTCCCACCATGCCCATTCTCCGCCGCCCTCGACCGTTTCCACACAACTTCCGACTTCTCACGACCTCTGATCAACCTCCACCCGGCGGTATATCTAGATTCCTTGCCCTCAAGATCCGGACGGCTCTCTCTTGGCAGTCCCCGTGGAGTCTTGACGCTCTGTCGCCGTAGCCGGGAGCAAAGCGCGTGCAGAGCCGTGTCGCCCAGGCCTAGACACTGTAACACATCGTGACAATCAGAGTTTCGGTGATTCGGCTGTTGTTCGTTTCTCGATGGTTTGCAATTACTGTACAGTCAAGAGACTCCCCTGGTTGACACGGACATCAGCAAACCTTACCTGTGCTCGCAAATATCCTGCCGGCGAAGGGTGCAACACGTGGTAGGGTCCCAAGGATCATGCACCCATTCAAGAATCACGAAAGGGTCGAAGTGAACACTATTGCCCGAGACAATGCAACTCTTCGTGATATCCATCTTGTCGTTACGGACGACCTTGTTTCGGCCGGACACAATTGAAAACCCCCCCAAAAGAAACGAGTCGATGAAAATAGAAACTCTCGCCGTTCGTGATGTCCACGTTTTCTTCACGCTGTTGCGGCCCCAAAACCGCGTTCCCCGACAGGTTGTTCAACAGCACTATCAACTAAGACGGCAATGGGCCGTCCCCTCCGCCGTTGGTCCGCCAAGAGCAATGGCACCAGAAGCGGTGTAGTCTGTTTTCGACCTATCTATGGTTTTCGCCTCGTGGGGCTCATTTCGCGGCCTTGTCCGCCGAACAACATTGTTGTCTAAAGGCGCAAATGGAGACTTTCGCCCAACCAACGTTGAGAGTGTTGACAGTCCGACCTCTGGAGGGTCTTTCAGATTCAACCCTCGTCGTGACGACGTGCTGGCGTGAGCGTGATGGGGGACAGGGCAGGAGCACCGTCGACAGTCAACACATTTAGCCTAAACCTTACCAGGTCACGCTCTCAGCAAATATATTTATCTGACCCCCCAATCAGTACTGTAGCCGATTCAGAAACGGATAGCCCGATACGAAGCGGGGCGACCCCTGTACAACTCCATGACCAACACCTACTTCCGAACACCGAAAGGTGGCGTGCAGCACACATTCCAGAGCTCCAACAAGGGGAAGAAGTACCACCTCGACTTTATCCTCACGTTTCAGACGGACCGGCGTTTCGTGCGTAATGTCTCCGTCAAACGTGTCGACTTCAAAGACTCTTGACCACAACCTCGTGCTTACGATTTTCCACCCCCCCCTCCGTGTCGCATCCAACCGACGAGTGCGGGGGAACACCGGAAGCAGCCGGAACCGTATCGACCTCGAGCGGTGAACGAAGGACAAGCACCTACGGGTCGCCTTCCAAAACAGGGCCTCCAGCCGCCCTCCGCCCACGGCGCTCAGGCGGCCAACGGGAGAGACCGTCGCCGAGCTGACCGCTACGGCGATGTCGGCCGCTGCTGAGACCGCGCTGCTGGCGAGGTGCGCACGAGGGCAGAGAGGCTGGTACACGAGCGAAGCGCAGCACGAGATCTCCGAAGCGTCTAAGGAGATTAAGGCGGCCCAGCAGCAACTGCGTGGGGCCTCAAAGAACAGCGCCTTCGAGGCGACCCTGAAGGCGATGCTCAAGGCGGCGCGGAAGAAGCGCAGCATCGCGAGGTGGAGAGCACTGGAAACGTTCTTCGAGGGCTATGTACGGCAG